TACATGTTTTAATTTTAACAAAAATTAAATAAGTTTATAACATGAAATAATATATTTATCAAAGTTTTTATATTTGTTTAATATTAGTCCCATTTAAGTTTCAAATTCAAAATAAAAAAATACAGTAAACATTATTTTCAGAATCACTATTGGATCATATAATCTGAAAACAATTTTCACTTATCCATTTAATTTAGTGAATCTGAAAACAATAAACCGAAGGAATATGGGTTGACATCAAACCGGCCTTAAGTTATTCTAACGTGATTCAATGTCCCATTCTCTATTTTTCTTTTTGACTTTTGTTTTCATATTAAAATGAAAACTATAAAATTTTCTATTGAGGTGAAAATATTATTTCTTTATTATAATTTTTTTTATGGTTTAGAATTCTCTTAAGATAAAAAGAAGGAAAAAAATGACAAAGGCAAATTTCATGGTTCTCAAATAACTTCTACTAATTAATTCCTTTTTAGAGATGGATTTGAGTTCATTTTAATGTTTAAAAAAAAAGTTTTTTTTAGTTCAGCAAACAGCAAACAGGGTGGAGATCAAATCATTGATTTTGGAATGGTAATAAATACCTTATAAAAGAAGTTAATTTTATATAACAAAAGAAAATAGTGCGTTACATACTAGAAAAAATTCAACCAGTCATCTAAAATTTGTTCTATTTTGTTTCCGAATTACTTTTTAAAAGTTAGGATCCAACTATTATTAATAGGTTAAAAGTTTATTTATTTATTTATTTTAATGAAGGTTAAAGTTTAAATATATATATTTCTTTTGGAAAGGAAAAGTTTAAATTATTGGCTGCTTAAAGTTACCATTTATGCAATTGTTTCATTTTGTGGCACATCATAAGAAGTTTGAGAGTGTCTCTTGTGAAAAATTAGTATATATATTGACCTTCTTTTCATGTTTGGATGATTAGGTGATTGATCGTAGATCGAAAAATGATTGCATGAAATTTTATAAATATCTGAAAGATTGTAACGTGACAATCATCTAACTCTACTACATTTGAATGCCAACAAAACTCGTATGATATTAAATCTTAAGTAGGTGCCACCATAATTTGAACCCATCCCGACTAAATTTTAGAATTTACTTTGGCCACCCAAAATACAATAACAACTTTAATAGTCTTGGAGACGAATTATCTCATAAAAACTTTAAAAAGATTACTGTTGTTCAATTTATATTCTAAAGCAGAAAGATACTATTTTGGGAAAAAAAATGTATTTATAAAATATAATTATTTTTTTAACAATATCATAAAAGTGATTTCCAGTTGTTCTTGGTGGTATAACTTTACAATTATGTCATTTTTGTAAATTTGTAAAATTTACCTTATCTTTTTGTAGAAGTCAAAAGTTTTTTTTTTTGAAATCGTTCTTGTCCATTGTACATATGTGTATCATGGTTCTAAATATCCGTCGACACGTCGACATTTCCATCAATATATCTATGTTTTCATGGTTTCGACATCGACACGAGGGATAAATCGACATTTCTATCATAGTACAATAAAATCGACCAAATATAAAAAATATAAATAACATGTCACTAATATATACATAATATTAATATTAATTATGTTTAACTAATTTAAGAATAGGAAAATGTTTATTTATTAATTTAAATATTTTTTACGATTTTTTAATTTTTCTAACTTTTACAGAAACATCCATCGACATCTTATCGATATTTCATGAAATTGAGACCTCAACATTTCCATCGACATGGATATTTAAGACCTTGATGTGTATATACATTTTTTTTGTGTTATTTTGTTCTACACTATTTACATTTTAAAAATAAATCAAAATCTAATTTTATTTAAGGAAAAAGGGAGTTTTTTTTAAACAATTAAATATCAGTGGCTTCTTTTTGTCAATTTACGTCTCAGTTCGGAAACGGTCGTACTTCTTTGACGCAGTCTTCTGAAACGCGTTTTGTTTTTTCAGATTTATAAAAAAAAATAAAAAAATAAAAAGTTGTTTACCTCGCTAAAAGAAAAAAAAAAAGGACCAATCACACGGTTTCTTACGTCGGCATAAATAATCCAACACAAGTTCCACGTGGCCAAGTGGGGGCAATGGCCTTTTCCAATAACTTATTTCTCCCATTTGCAAAATAACTTATTTCTCTCGTCTTAACTCTTAACTGTGTTGAATAGTTTAAAAAAAAAAATTATCAATCTTTAATGGTCAGTTTGTTACTATTAAAAAGTTGTAAGTTCGAATTCATCATCTCACGTTTTGTACTAAAAAAATTTTGTTAAATAAAATAATATTTTTGTACTTAGTAATATAACGTTATCAAAAGATAAAACTAAAACTAAGGTAAAGTACCATTTTAAAACTCAGAATTTTTTAAATTGTGCATTTGCTTTGAAGTTTTTAGAAATTGGTTTAAGGTTCCCTCAACTGATAAATCTACTAAGTCATGTGGTTCAGATAGTAAATTCGAGTTACAAAATTGAGGCTTTAAATTCATATCGTGTAACGCAATCAAATGGATTGAAAAACACAATTTTAAAACAACATTGATGTTTTTTTTTTTCCATTTGATCTCGTCATATTGCAACCTTTTCTTTGGGTAATACCATAATGTGGTTTAAGATCGCTGTGTTTTTCTTCTGATTGTGTTACGTGATGACCATGTGATAGCACGATTGTATTATGATCAGCACCGCAATCTTAATTTTGAGTATAACCACGATATAGTCTAATATCATTGTATTTTGTCATCATATTACGTTACACAATCCACATATGAAACACTATCTCTGTAATGATCCCCAATAACCCCAATCACTCTAACTTGTACTAAGATACCATACTTCCACAAATTTGTCCAACTATATGAATCAATTCATGCTCATGATATGCTGAAAATGATTTTTGCTTATTCTCAAAATGGTTAAAACCTTAAAAAACCAATCAATTTAATTTGCTTGTAACATGATCTAGTGCAAATTAATTTATTATCCACATAACGACACTCTTATTTCCAAATTATAATTACCGCATCAACCATCCTAAAGTCCATCATATTTTTGTGTCATAACTTAACAATTCTGTCATTGAGGTTAAACTTATTTATGAAAACTCATGAACAAAAATGTACCATTTTGAAACATAAGTACCACACAAACCTATAATAGAAAACTCAGACCAGAAAGACAACTTTCTCTCCGACTAAGTATAATTGATAAATTTGAAGATATATTTATTTGTCGACATTTTTCCTTGAAATATATTTATATAATTAAATGTGTTAAAGATCCCACGTTGAAAATATAATAGACCTAATAAACATTTATTTAGACATGAGCTACTCCTCTCCTTATCAAAATTACCTCAGATAAAATGAATCTTGACTTGATCTAATTCTAATTCCATCTTATTAATTGTGAAAGAGAAGAACATGTGGATGTTAAAAGTGGGTTAAAAAAAAGTGTATGACATGATTTTTTAAGTTTAATTTAACCGAAGATACCAAATTGATAATTTAACTTATTTTAAATAATTTAATTAAGACTTTTCAGTTGACTTAGGCACCTCTCTCAAGATAGGTTTGTATCCCATTCTTGAATTAGGTCATTTTTTTAATTAATCTTTATTCTTTTTAAATATAGTTTTATAGATAAATATTTCAAATTTTATTACCTACCTTCTTTCTCCTCGCTATTGAAATTTGAAAATGACATTATTATCGAAAATAGGTTTATATTGTGAATTTTGAATGTTATTTTCTATTGACTTGTTTTTTTTAGGAAAACAAAAAACAAAAATACATATATCATTTTCGGAAATAAAACATTATGAATAGTAATATATACGCGTTCTATTTTTTTCCCAAAGCGTAATATTATGTTTTTTTTTCTTTTTTCTTTTCTAGTAATTTACTTTTAAGTATTCAACTTTATAAGTAGTTCTAAACAAATCTTCCTAAGTTAGCAAAAATAAATAAATAAATAAATGTTAAGTTAGATCTTTTAGTTTAGAGAGTATAAAGAGAGGGGCAAGAGAAAATGGAGAGGTGCTTGGTTCGTAATTTGAATAAAAATTTGCCTCTCAAGAAAAAATCAAAACGTTGGAGTGTTTTTCAATCTAATCCCTATTATTTAAAAAAGTTTCAATTTAGTTCCTCGTCACTAATAAATGTTAAAATTGGTTGATGATAAGCTTTAGATGATTGATTATATGCGATAAGAAACTTTATAATTTCACTAAATTTCTAAGAAATTGGTAAAATTTTTTAGTTTTCTTATGTTCACGAGTTTTTCTTCTCTAAATTTCTGTCACTCGAACTTGAGGCTTCAAGGTAGGTGGTACCTCAAGGCCCCGAGCACTTACTAATCCCTTAGGGATGATAAATGATTAAATTGAAAAATATTAAAATATAATGAATTAAATTGTAACTTTTTAATCAAGAGGACTAAAAACTCTCAAAACACTCCAGACTAAAACATACATTTAGAAAAATAATAACAATAATGAGTCTTTCATGTGTATTCAATTTTCATCTTTTAACTTTTGAAGTGTCTATTTTGTAGTTTTTAACATTTTAAAACCAATAGTTTTCGTCACCTAATACCACTAAATACCTGTCATAGCACAATTCGAAGTCATGTCATCCATTTATTAAACAATACGTCTAAAAAATAACAAGAACTATAATAACTATTTTTCTTAAATTTGAGGATTAAAATATACGCTTTGAAAACTTAGAGACTAAAATAAGTCTTTTAAAAGTCGAAGAGTCTGTGAATCAAAATGAAATTTAAATATATAAAGAAAAAAAAGCTCTATTATTCTGACAAAATTGACGATGACTTTTCAATTTCATTTTTATTGTTTGAGAGAGAGTATTTGATGGTGGCTTTTTTTAATTAATTAATTTTTTAGACATAAATTTGTTGGTGGCTTTAAAGACTATTATTTATTGATGTTATAATAAATATATATATAAGATATAACCTACTCTGCTGGCTGGCTATGTGGAAGATATTTTTTAATTACATAATTTTCTCGCCTTGGAAGTTCATCCCCTTCAACAATGGACAATAATTGACCAACTTCAACTTCAACTCCTTCCGATTCAAAGACTCAGCTCATCCTCCATTTTCTCTTTAGCTCAAGCTTCGATCCCATTTCCCATAAATCTGCTTTTAGCTCTGAATCCAGAGCTTCGCTTCCTTCTCCTTCAACCCTCTGCAATCTTCCCTCTCTGAAGTTCTTTTCAATTTCTGTTCCCACTGATTACCTCCCGTTTCAAGATTCAGCAAAATCTGCTTCTCACTACCAATCTTTCATCTGGGCTTTTCTTCTTTTCGGGTTTCTGATTTTCAATTTTAGCCACGGGATCGTCGATTTGATCTGAAATTGAAATGGGCATCTGCACGAGCAAAGGCAAATACTCGCCGCAGTATGATCGTTACGACGATCAACCAAAAGCCCCGCCTCAGAACACCCACCGGTCGCCGGAAAATCGTGCCGAGAACCCATCGGCGGCGAAGCCCTCTGGTCCTCCCAAGAGCCCCAGACATGCTGCTGTTAGGTCTGATACGATTCTTGGGAAGCCATTGGAGGACGTTAAGCTGCATTACTCTATTGGAAAAGAATTGGGGAGAGGCCAATTTGGGGTCACTTATCTCTGCACGGAGAATTCCTCCGGTAAGCAATATGCTTGCAAATCCATTTCCAAGAGGAAGCTCGTGACCAGAAATGATAAGGAGGATATAAGGAGGGAGATTCACATTATGCAGCATTTGAGTGGCCAACCCAACATAGTTGAGTTCAAGGGAGCTTATGAAGACAAGCAATCGGTTCATCTGATTATGGAGCTTTGTGCTGGCGGAGAGCTGTTTGATAAAATTATTGCAAAGGGCCATTATAGTGAGAAAGCAGCTGCTTCAGTCTGCAGGTCAATTGTTAATGTGGTTCATATCTGCCATTTTATGGGAGTGATGCATCGGGACCTCAAGCCTGAGAACTTCTTGCTTGCTAGCAAGGAGGAAAATGCAATGCTCAAAGCAACAGATTTTGGGTTGTCTGTTTTTATTGAAGATGGTAAGATTCTTGCTCTGCTTATTGAATTTGTTCTTTATGCTTTTTGATTGTTGACGATTTTGGAAGGTCAAATGTGTGGGAATTTTTGTGTATGGGTTACAAGTTTCAGATGGTAGAACTAGATATTTGTTTTATTTTCTGCTTTTGTTTTCTACAGTTGCTGTTGGTGATCATCTGTTGTAGTAGGCAACTGTTCAATGTCTTGGGACTTTCTTTTTTCAGGGAAAATTTCATTTTTCATTCCTGTGTTTGGTGAAACGAGTCAATTTTAATTTTGAACGACCCCGAACTTAAATAAGTGATGAAATTAATACAATTAATTTGGCTGTGTTGGATACTTTTTAGCTAGGTTTGGACATTTTATCGCAAAATTTGGGCACTTCTTTTACTTGTTTGATTTTGTAGCTAGATGTGGGTATTTTCCATAGATGGATTTGGGCATTTTGACTTGATTTTGAATATTTTGTTGATTGAATTCTGCAAGTTTATTGGTTGGTTTGTACGTGCTTTTCTAATTTATTTTTGAGAAGATGTTAGATTTCATTGATTCTTCAAGTATAGGGTTCAATTTAGGTTAAAATTGGCTCACTAATTTAAGTACAAGGGAAAATATGAAAAATTTCTTCTGTGCTTATCCTGAATATTTTTTCTTAATTTATTCATGCTGGTGCTGATTCAAATCTTAGAAAAGTTACAAGTTTGATGATTGGGCAGTTAGTGGTATTCATGTACTTATGCAACAATGAGAGATAAGATTTAGTCAACTTCAATATAAAAACAACATATTTTTAGAGAACAACATGGAGTATTCAACTTACATGGGCAGAAGGCGAATTCTTCTTGGTCAAGGTTCATCCATCAGTATGGATTGAAAACCTCAACCCTGAACTTTCCTAGGTATTTTCTCCATCAAATAAAATATACCTAGACTTGGCATGTACCCAACTATTGAGGAGGCCTATTGTCTTTTTCGTTTTAGTCGTTTGAACAGTTGTTAATGGCTTCATTCTGTCGATATTGGCAAATGATGTTGAATTGTCTTAGTCTCTTCCATGCCAACAGATTCTTGATAAAACTTTGCTCGCTTCTAAGATACATCACATGATGATGATTATAGGTTATAATAGATAGTTCTGTAACACTCCTTTCCCACAAAATTTGGTGGAGGCTGAACCTATGACTCGAGATTTCCTAGTGCGAGTTTCCCCAGCTGACTTGTTTTGAAAGCAAGTGCTGGACAACCGCTAGACCCAAGTAACAAAGTGCAATTGTGTTATGTGGGCTCATGTGATTTGCTTAAGAGTTCAAGAGATTTTGGTGGAATTATATGTGCTTCCACTGAAAAATCATCATTTGAATTTCTTTCTTTATTGACTACTTTCAGGAAAGGTGTACAGAGACATAGTAGGGAGTGCTTACTACGTCGCCCCTGAAGTTTTACGTCGCAAATATGGAAAAGAAATAGATATTTGGAGTGCTGGGGTCATGTTGTATATATTACTCAGTGGTGTACCTCCATTTTGGGCAGGTAAATTAGAGAAGTACTTTTTTTTTTTTTTTTTTTGATATCAGTGAGTATCCGGGCAACCTTTCTTTTTTCTTTTCATTATGCTTCTTTTATTGAATGTTGGGTAGCATTTTCTTTTTCCGAAAAATGCCTGGCCAGTGTGGTGTATAACATGATCTGTATTGCAGAAACTGAGAAGGGCATATTTGATGCAATATTGCGAGGACATATCGACTTTGAAACTGATCCATGGCCAACAATTTCTAACAGTGCCAAGGACCTGGTGAAGAAAATGTTAACTCAGGACCCGGCAAAAAGGATTACGTCAGCCCAGGTTCTCGGTATGTGTTTATCTGTCTGTGAATGCTTTCTTGAATTCTTTACCTAAAATGAAATCCGAAGATCCATATGTGAATCTGTAGAATCTAACCGGGGTTGGGCATTGTGTATTTTATCAGAGCATCCATGGATGAGAGAAGGCGGGGACGCATCAGATAAGCCAATGGACAGTGCAGTGTTTACAAGACTCAAGCAATTTAGAGCAATGAACAAACTGAAGAAACTTGCCTTAAAGGTGATCTTCCTTATATCTAGGCTTGTTTCTCTAGATATAAGTAGTTATACTTGATCAGAGTGGGGGAGGGGGGCATATTAGAAGTATTTTTGGTAACGGTACTTGATTGAAAGCGGGCAGAGGACAGAAAGAAGTTCATGATATTAACACGTAGTTTATGAAACAATTGCAGGTTATAGCTGAAAGTCTTTCTGAAGAAGAGATCCAAGGCCTGAAATCAATGTTCACAAACATGGACACTGACAATAGCGGAACCATCACTTATGCAGAACTGAAGACAGGACTGGCTAGGCTTGGCTCGACGCTTAGTGAGGCCGAGGTCAAACAACTTATGGAAGCGGTAATACATGATTTAACATGATCAATCACCAGAAGTTATTTGTTATTTGTGTTTTCACCTCACATGAACTGAGAGAACTTGCTACGACGTTTCAGGCCGATGTGGATGGAAATGGTACAATTGATTACATCGAATTCATCACCGCTACTATGCATAGATACAAGCTAGAGAAAGAAGAGCATCTTTACAAAGCCTTTCAGCATTTTGACAAGGATAACAGTGGGTCAGTATCTCATCCTAGAATATGTAACATTTATCTGCTTTTAGAAACAACCTTATCTCAGTTTTTTTAAGTGTTTGCTTCCTGTTATTCCCAGTTATATCACAAGAGATGAACTAAAAGCTGCAATGAAAGATTACGGGATGGGCGATGAGGCAACTATTAGAGAAATTATTTCTGAAGTCGATGCAGACAATGTAAGTTCGTTTTCATAGTCCTAACTAATCTTCTGTAGTAAAACGCAACTAATTTTGGTTCGGTTTTTACAGGATGGACGAATCAACTACGATGAATTCTGTACAATGATGAGAAGTGGAACCCACCAAGCCAAACTCTTTTAACTCATAGAACAACACAGAAAGGAGATCGCTGAAGGGACCATTTAACGCGAGATCGGTTTTGGAAAGCTTGCCCGTCGATGGTGAAAATGTCAAGACTACACCTGAAACTGAAACATTGGTTTTGGGTTTTAATGTGTGATATTTTTGCATAGCAATTGAATTGTTGTTTATATTGTTCTGTATAATTTGTTGGCTTGTGTCAGCCAGGTTCATGTCTAAAGATAGTTTCCCTGATGGGAGAATTTGTATTGCCTTAAATGATCTTGTTTCCTTGAGTACTAATTATGTCCACTTGATCTTTAACTTTTTGTGTGTAAAAAAAGGAATTGACTTTTTTGCCCAACATTGACTGACATTGAGATTGGATCCAATATGAGTATCCCAAAATTGCTTAATAAAAATGGAGCAGGTAAGAGAGGAAGAAGTGGACTTGGAAAGAGTCATGGCTTAAAATGGTAATGTGGATTTGTTTTGCATTTTTGAAAATTTTCTAGTTGTTTAGAATTTCATTCATCTATTACAAKACTTTGCCCTAAAATATATCAAACCAACAGCTTTTAGGGAATACAAGCAAGTGAGCCAATTTAGGGTTTGGGATAAAGTGTTTAGGGTTTGGGCTTGTGCCCTTACAATACAAAAATCAAAGAAAATTGGAGCGAGCATATCTGTTTACCCCCTCGTTATGAAAAATGACTAAAAAAAGTTACCTATCTTACAAATATATAGCTCAATCAAATATTAAAAAGTAGATTACTAATTATGTCTATGGATTTTTGGGTTAAATAACTCGTATTATTTTTTACTGACATCACCTTAGATACCAAATTACTTTCACTATCCCTCTATTCATTTTTTTAGATTTCTCTCTCTTATTCTCTCCCTCTTTTTTCGGAATTTTTTCCTTCCATCTTTTTTCAGAATTTTATTTTCCTCTCATTTTCCATTTAACCCATTCATTCTTTCTTTTCTCTTTCTCTCTTTGCACACATCATAGTCGACGAGGGAGAAGAGAGAAGAGAGGAGAGAGAAGAGAGAAGAGAGAAGAGAGGAGAGAGAAGAGAGAAGAGCGAGAGGGAGAGAGGAAGAGATTTATTTCCTATTTTAAGTGATTAGTTCAAATAATTAAGGAAAAGAAAAAAATCTTAAACAAGTTTAGATTAAATTTCATATAAGTAGATATCTAATGGGTTTATATTATAGAATTAAAAAGATGGTTTGAAATCCTGTATATTTTCAACCTAAGTGCTCTTTTGATTTTGGAAAAAAACTCTTTATCAATATATTGCTTCTTCTACACATTTCGCTCTACCCCATAATGTAGAGTAACTAATAGTTAGGACTTATAAAAAAATCGATAACTCACTCATGAGAAAAGTCCTTCCCGCATCAAGCACTTATATAGTTTTAATGTCTAATTAGATCGGGTGGGGGAGATTGAGATTCGTTTTCCTTCCTTACAATTTTCAAATTTTCTAAATGATTTATTAAACACTTTGAATTTGAATTTGACCAGTTAATTTATTTACTTAGTTCTGTTAATTTAATCTTGTTTATGATTTCATTTAAATTAATCAAATTTTATTATTATTACTATTATTATTTAGATAAGCAACATTTTATTTCAAAATATTTGAAATTATTCGCTTTATAAATTGATAAACATTCCTTCAAAATTAATTCAATAATTTAAGAATTTTATTCATTTTATAAATAGATTTTTAAGAAATTAAATTATTTGACCAAATAAATCAATTAATAGGTTATTGAAATTTAATCCAAATTGTTTAAGATTTTTTTCTTTTCCTTAATTATTTGAAAGGCATCATCTAGATCTCTCTCCCTCTCTCCCTCTCATAAACAATACTATCTTGATAAAAGAGCTACTCAGTGCAAAAACCCGATAACAATATAGAATTGTTCGGCTGAGTAGCACTAGGTATGACTCTCTTCAACTCTGTTAACATTCTCTTCTTCTTCTTCTAGTTATAGTTTTGAATAAAATAATATCATAGCCAACAAACAAAAAAAATCATTTTTTGAGATTAATAAAACAAAACAAACAAACAAAGCATCCATCCATGTAGACAAGACAAGACTAAGGGAGAAATAGAATTCTTGTAGACTCAAAACATAATCTCCTGAGATTAATAAGAGGAAGCCATTACATTCCATGGCAATAATACAACGTAAAAACAAACCATAGACAACGCAAGTACAGTTGCCTGCATGAACTAATTAAAAACCATTCATCAAAACATAGACATAGACATATAACATAAACAGATCAAAAACCATGAATCTTGATTTGATCCTTCTTGACGAGGCCGGCCTGAACGAGGAACTGGGAGACGTTCTTGCGCTGATCGCCTTGGAGTTGGATTATCTTGCCCAGCTCCTTGTCCTGCACCACATTCCCATTGCAACAGAAGTCCTTCTTCAGGTCCTTGAGGATCTTGTCGTAGCTGAAATCTTTCTTCAGCCCTTGAACTGTAGTCAGACACTTCTTCCCATTCCTCTGCTGGACCCTTACATGCACGTACTCCTTGTTCCCCGGCGCATCCGAGTCCTTCGCGTCCGCAAACGGATTGAAAGCTGTTGGAATCTCCACGTCTAGATCAACCATGTAATTTGCTTCCTGCTACTGCTACCCAACAACCTGTTTTCAGGATATACACATTTCTTAATCAGCTCCTAAATGACAATTCTACACTTAAAACTCAAAGCAGTCACACAACGCAGCCGTATCAATATGGAAAACAAATCACTGCAATAGATTAGTTTACCAATTTTAGTTTCTACAATTGTTACGGTAACGCATCCATTCCTTAGGTCTTGTTTCCAATTTTATTAAAAAATCTAAAATTTTGTCGAACTATTTAGGTTTCTTATTTCAAATTTCTTTGCCCATAAGTAAAGATTCTGTTTTATACTTCTTAAATCCGAGCGCCACTATTTTTCTTTATTAAAACAAGGAGGAAATAGGTCAAGGAGCAGTTTTTTAGGATATTTAAGGAGATTAAATTAAAATCAAATACAAACACTAAAATAGTAATTTAAAGAAAAGTGGAATAACAGGGCTATCACAGATTTCAATATCTCTCCAGAAAAACAGGTAAATAGTGAAGAAAGCAATCCAAATAAGCAGGGCCTCCACATCCATCCAATCCAATCCACCATGTTTAATTAAATCAATTAAACAAACATCAAACAGACATCAAACTCCCAGAAAGCAGGAAATTAGAAACAACAATTAAACAAAAACCGACCCACAGTGGAGAATCAAGTGAACAAGGACAGCGAAAATCAACTTCTAAATTCTCACCAGAGACCAATTACCCAAGAATCAGAGATTCAAAACGACCCGTTTCGATCACATACTTTTGTTTCCAAGAACTCAAACGAAAATTAAATAATACAGAAACCCAGAAAATAATATCGATTCAAAGAATCAGGAAGAGGGGAACAGTACCTGAAGCCGAGAGAGAGCTTGGAAGAAGCAAAATGCGAATCGAAGGAGTGAGGAGAAAGAAATTGGGTCGAGGCTGAATATATAGAGGTGGTGTTTGGGGACGGAGCAAGTCTTCGTCCACGTCACGACGGGTTAATATTCTGGATAAGGTCGGTGTACAACGTGGACGGCGGAAATGGAGGCTTGTTGGAGTATGAACGGCTGGGATCAAACACAGGCGTATGGTTATCAGGATAATATATTCCCGAAGTGGAAAAAGGGAATGCTTATTCGCGTATAATGAACGCACGCTAAACTCGAATCCAAACACGACGATGATGGTGAGAAAAAATTAAAGAAAAAAGGCGGTGCGCCCCACATCTGAAGGATTTTTCCTTGCCATCCAAGTAACGCAGAGATTTTAATTTTTTAATTAATAATTACGATGCATGGATGATATCATATTTTCAGGGTTTTAAAAAATGTGTTTGGTATCATATTCAAAAACTAAATCTCAATTTTAAAATTTGGAAAATGTATTTGATATCATATTTAGAAATCAGATCTTAATTTATGAATTTGAAAATATTATTAAAAAATAATAAAAAATATGTATTAAAATAAGTGTTAAATCTCAAAATTTCTCAATATGTTATGGTAGTATATTTTATATTACAATATTTTTTATTTTTTTTAGCATAATTACAATATTTTTATAATTAGTTGTAATTTATACTATATCATATTTGTAAAAGATGATAATATAATATGTAAAATAAATATAGTATTCCTATTTAGAGATTTAAATAATAAAAAATTGTGTCAAAAGTGGACATTAAGTATAATTAGCATATATTTTTAATTAAGCTCTCATAAATTTATGTTTAAATTGTTAATAAAATAATAATAACAATGGCTAAAATAATTTGTTTAAAACAAAGTTTATGAACAAAAAAAATATTTGAAAGTACAAGGATTAAAAGAAAAATACTTTAAAGCTTACAGACAAAAATAGAATATTTGAAAGCCGTGAGACTAAATAATATGTTTTAGAGTTTATGAACTAAAACACAATAAGAGTAGGTTCGAAATACCTTTTGAAAAAAATGTTTTTAAGTGAAATACTTATTTTGTAACAAAGTTTGGAATAAATCAAATTAAATGGTTCATCTGAAGGTATATTAAAACTCTATTTACTTACTCGCAACTGTAATCAAGGAATTGTAATGAAAATTTTCATTGTCTATCAAATTGTAGAAATAAAATAAATAGTGGAACCACTAGTAGAAACATGGGCTTTCATGACAGTTGTGAACAGCAAAAAAGTTGGGAGGAAAAAAAACTGTCATAAATGATTGGGGCGCGTTTTTTGCGAGAAAAATCAAAACTTTTCGAATTTTTCAAGTTTTATGACAGTTAAAAACTGCCACGAAAACTGAATTTTAGATGACAGTGGAAAAATGTCACAAAATAGTGGAGATGCATTTTTGGCGGGAAAAAATGGCCACTTACAAAAATTTTCTTGCTTCATGACATTTTATAATTCTCAAGAAAAATAAAAAAATTTCAAGTATTCCATGACAATTACCTAGGCCATCTTGAGAATCTATGACATACAAAAGTATCACAAATGATTTTAAGCACGTTTCATTTTTGTCGGAAAAATTGCCGCTTCGTTAATGATATTAATTATTTTGGGATTGTCTGGTCGTATTGAGCATAAATTTATGCTCAATGTTTTTCCTGCATACTCCATCAAACAAGTAGAAAATGTGGCTTTGGTACAGTGGTAAGCTTATCCTGCGTAATTATGCTCTTCCTCTCTTCGGTCTCGAGTTTGAGTCCGATTGATTTGAATTATTTTATCAACCATGTATTATTACATTTTTACTAAATTTTACCTTTAACCATCATTAATTAATTAATTATAATTTCAATTTAAAATAAATAATATGTATTTATTTCTTCTAACAAAAAATGAATTTATTCCTCTTATTTTAGTTGTTTAGCCCTTTATATACATTTTTTTTAATTTAGGTTTATGTTGTTAAAGAAAAAATTTTTAAAAGAAAAGAACAATAAAAGTAAAGGAAAATAGGGTGGAAATCCCAAATAGAAACCCCACCTAACCTCCCTCCTCCTTCGTGTACTCCAAAATTAAACCCTCACCATTTCGCCTCTTTCAGCCCCCTCACCGTCGCCGTGTTGCCTTCTTTAGCCTCGCCGTTGATGCTCCATTGTCGTTCGTCACCCATCCGTTGCCAATTGTCGTCATTCCGCCATTTGCCGTCTTTTCGCGATAGTTCGTCACTGGTTCACGACAGCTTCTTATTCTTTGACCACCGACGCCACGACCTATTCACACCACCGGCAATACGCGAAGCAGCGGCGAAGGGCGTGTTCTTCCATCTCTGTTGTCGGTTTTCTTCTTCACATGTATCGATTTTTTTTCGATTTCATACAAAGCTCTAAACCCCTTCTCTGTTTGGATTCTTCTAAGCTTCGTGTTTTTCTGCAGGGTACTTGCGCCTTCGCTTTCCCTCTGCAATCTCTTCAACTTTGCTGCACTGCTGCAATTCGCCCTTCAAGGTAGGTGTATTTCGGACCCAGTTTTAGGTTTCTTGTGATTTAATAAACTAAGAAACGAACTATGAGATGATGCTGGTTTCTTGACAAGCTATGAGATGATATGTGGCAATAGATAGCATCACGTTGATAGGGATATGACATAGGGTTGATAGTTACGGCCCGTTTGATAACCGTTTCGTTTTTTGTTTTTGGTTTTTGATTTTTAGTTTTTAAAATTTGATAACATTTCAAAAAAAAAAATGGTAATTTTCAAAAAACAGGTTTTTGTTTTTCAAAATCTCATTTCTTCTCCGAATACTCAACTTTTTTTTTCTTTCTCATATTTATCTTTAAAAAATTTATTTTTCATTCTAATTTTTTTTATTTCTAAATTTCTCTCTCCAAACTTTATTTTTATCTTTCTAAAATTTTCATATTTTTGAATATTTATTGTTCTTTGTCTCTCTCTAGAATTTTCTGTATTTTTGTTTTTTTTCCTTAACAGATCAGTTTCATTTCTCTCTCTAAAAATTTAATATTTTCCCTAACTTTTTTCTCTCGAAAATTTCATATTTTATGACTTTTATGTCTCTTCGTAATCTATTTTTTCTTCTAAAAGTTATATTTTATTTTCTCGTCCAATTTTCTTTCACTGTAATTTTTATTTATCTTTGTATTTATTTATTTTATATAAAAATTATATAATCTTGTTTTTATGTCTAAATTTGTTTCCACTATAATTTTTCTCTTTCTTTATAATTTCTTTTTTTTTCTTTAACATATCTTTTCCTCTGACTTTATTTTTTTCTCCAAATTTTTTTTCTTTTTGTCTTTAACTTTTCTGTAACTATTTTTGTTATAAATATTTTTATTTATCTCTCCAAAATTTATCTTCCAAAACTTTATTTACATCTCTATTTTCATGTCTCTACATCACGGGAAGACAAAAATTTTCGTAGGGTCAGGTCCAAAAAATAGAAAATGGACGTCCCGACCCCGTCCCCGATTCCTTTTTTTGAATAATATATATATATATATATATTACACTTTTTTATATTTAAATTCTAAAAATAATTAAAAACGTTTATAAAACTGATAATTTTTTTCAAGGACATCTCTCGGAACCAAGAACAAGGTGGAGACGGAGACTAAAAATTTTCACGAGCCCTAGAATTAGGGAGAGTATCCTCACTCGCACCCACACTATCTCTACTCTACATAAAATTTTCTATCTCTAATATGTATTTTCAATTTTCTAACTTTTTAAAAACACAAAACTAAAAATGGTTACCAAACATTTGGTTTGTTGTTTTTTAAAAACAAAAAAACAAAAAACGAAAAATGGTTATCAAACATATATAGTTTTTGTTTTTTAAAAACACAAAACAAAAAACAAAAACTAAAAAAAAAAAAACCAAAAACCAAAAACTAAAATGGTTATCAAATGGGCCCTACATGATTTAGAATTTTTAGAAGGAACTGACTCATGTTTGCAGCTCGAATCTGAATATGCGATTTAGTAATATGTTGGAATACAAGAAAAAGTACAACCAAAACAAAATGTGAAGTAGAGGACTTCTAAATCCATGAACCGTCAATTAGAGTAATCGTTGCAATGACAAGGATTTCAAAATACTAAAACAGTTTTTTGACAACCAGGTTTTAGCTACATTTGAGTTATTAGAGAAGAGGTACGAACTACAGGGAGCACTACAACAAATATCACATACGTTAGCATCGAAAAAATGTTATCATAGATTTTTCATAGCGTTTTTGTAACGTGGTGGTAGGCGATGTTATTGAAAGTCTCTGACTTTTAATAGCATTTTTTTAACGCTATGCTAAATGTTATAAAAAGTTATTTTCGATGGCATGATTTCAATGTTATAAAAACTATTTATAGCTTTAGAAAAAACGCTATCGTAAATGTTCTATAGCACCCAAAAAACGCTATGAAATAGATTTTATAGCATTATTCATAACGTCTCATAGACGCTATGATAAGCTTTTCATAATATTTCTACTCTACGCCGTGTTAGCCAATGTTATGGAAAGTCATTGATTTTTTATAGCATTGTTTCAATGCTATGCTAAATGCTATTAAAAAAAATACAATATCTAAATCCATAATTGTACTGTTATAAAAATGTTCCATAGCTGGGAAGTTTTTATAATGTGTTTTACAAATTATGAAATTTTTTTATTAATTTATAAAACACATAATAAAAACTTCTTGCTCATTATGCTTGAAAATCAACGGAATATTATCATCACATATAAAGACAAAAAAAATCATAAATTATTCATTGGAATAAAAATGTGTTCAATTATACAAAATTCAATAAGTAATTTCAACAAGAAAAAGTTGGCAAAATATAAAAATTGCTAAGATTCCTAAATTAAAACAATATAGAGCGTAAAATACAATGGAAAAGTGAGAGGCGTTATCTCCATTCACATCTGTAGAGTCATTACTTCTCTTACCTACAAAACAACATTTAAAAAAATTGTCAAAATGGACGTTATAAACTCAATGATTCTATCTTAACTTCT